ACATTTGCTGTTATATTAAAGTTTTTCTTCATTACCCATTCAAGCCGTCTCCAGCCATTAATAATTCACTTTGTCATTTATAACCAGAATAAAAAGCAAAATTTTGATCTGTTAAATGATGTATAATGCTATGTTGTTTTCAGTACAGAGTATTGTAAATTTCATCTTCAGTTTGAAAATTTTTCTCAGTGTTCAGCTTGAGCTGCTATAGGAACTATTTTAAACCCTTCTTGTCTCGATTAGAAAGCCAGTTAAATTATAACAGTTATAGGACATTGTTTTCTTTGTACACGTTGTTATTCTGTGTGTTTAGATGCATTATTTACGACAAACATCAAACTTGAGGAAATTTTATTTTTGTTCTTTGTATTAGGTTATTATTGCTTTATAAGTGATATAAGATCATGTATTTTTGATACAGTTATTGAGATAAACTCAGGTAATCTAATATTGCAACAAATTTCCATCTATTACGTTCAAAGTGCTTTTTCTAGTAAGTTTTATTTTACAGTTTGTTATTTAAGCCTGAGATTTGAGTGTATTATAGTCATTGTTTGATTCTTTACAAGGACAAAATCTTTCAATTACATTGTAATTAGGTGATTTAGATATGTGCATCTCTTTTAGTAATCACTATGGGTGGGGTGGAAGGCATTTCTGAATGACAAGTCTGAACTTTGATTAATGGAAACCTTCACTGGTGGTTTGTACATTCTCATGACATTTTGACTTTTTATTGATAATGTTCTTTCTCATTGGCTTAAATTATCTATGAAATTGGTCTGCTTCAGGCTTTGCATATCTGGTTTTTATTAAATAAACATTTTTCCTTAGAAATGATAGTTAATATTCATCAGTAAAATACCTGTGATAGGTGCTAGACGTAACATTTATGGCACCATGACTCTTTTCTGTGATGACAAGCCACTATATTAGCTTAAGCAAATAATTCTGATACAAGTTTGTACATAATTCTTCATATGTGGTATTACTGCAAGATTTCATATGAGAAATTGTGAGGGTAGTGTTTAGTAGTCAATTTTCCCAATATTAGGCCTTTTCAGACTGATAAGTTAATACAAAAAAATTAGTGGAGATTGTAATAACAATTGTACTCAGATATGACAAATTCAAAATGTGTGTGCTTTAAAAAACCCTCTACAATGGGGATTGAATTCTTTTTTCATCTATATACATACATAGGTATACCAGTGTGCCAATTTTTAATAAACTTCATCATTTTTCAGCTATTTTAAAGTAAAATAAATCTGTGGACCTGTAAAAAGTTATTTAAAAAAGATCCAAATGCTTGAATGCCTTTGAGTGATCACTTTCTTAAGACCTTTTCAAAAGTGGGAGCATTTTTATTTTTGTTGTTGTTGAAAGTTCGCATGTGTTGTAATTATGTACTAAGGATAAATTAAAACTTCACACCATTAAATTGTTTTATAAACTATACAATAACATATTTTGTACAAATTGCAAGAAAGTTAGTCATATGACCTCTTCAATACATGTAGGTTGCATGTAACTTGTTTCGAACACTCCCACCAAGTGAAAATCCTGACTTTGATCCAGAAGAAGATGATCCAACATTAGAAGCTTCTTGGCCTCATCTACAGGTGTGTTTCTTACCTAGTGAAAAATTTATTTTTAATAATGTTAAATTCTGACTTCATTGTAACCCACCTTCATGTATGATGGGATAAAATGTTCAAGTTAGATTCCATTTACATTAAATGTAAAACAGAAGCTTTAGTTACAAGGATTATAAACTAAAATTATGATATTTATAAACATGTTGAAATTTTTGTTTGCGTTGTATGGAATCATAAACTTTATATCCAGATTTATAAAATTATGTTATACATATGGCTGTCATATCTTTTCAGCTGGTTTATGAGTTTTTTCTTCGATTTCTGGAGTCCCCAGATTTTCAGCCTAGTATTGGGAAGAAAGTTATTGACCAGAAATTTGTTCTGCAGGTAAATGAAAGAAAATCCTGTAGCTTAAAAATTTGGTATATTGTTAAGTCTTGCAAGTTTCAAATTAATAGTATATTGATGTTGTTTTGTTTTTTTTTACTGTAATTAAAGTGTAATTTGAGAAACATGAGAGTTTTCTACTGAGAATAAATAGCATAGTAAAAAAACTGCTGAGTCATTAAGTTTGTAATGAAATGTGTTTTGTAATTCTATTATGTAGCAGAACTAGTATTTCAGTGGTATGTTTCAGCTGAGTCATAAACCACAATGTTAAAAGGAACTAGTTTTTACTATCATTTAAGACTGTATATTACAACTTTCAAGTAAATCTAAAATGCACATGTGAATTACTGAATGTAAGTTTACTTCTGTTATTGAACTTGCTAAGAAGATGAAGTATTGTTATGATGTTAACTGTCAACAGCTGGCAAAACAATGAAACCAACAGGCTTAATATTTTGACAAAAATCACACTAATTACAAGTGCTCTTATTTTTATCATTCCTCTTAAAATTAGTCCATAGGAGATTTTCATTTTGTGTACCTCTAATTTGAAATCAGTGATGTACTAATTAAATCTATCCAGATTTTGAATGCACCCCAGCATATCACATTTCCAAATTTAAGCAAATATAATAATTCTAACTCTATGTTAACAGTGTTTTCTTAAAAATATTTCATAACTAATACTTTGTTGTCTTATAACCTTTATTTATTGTAATTTGCAAAAAATAAATAAACAAATGTTAGAAAAACACTTATGAACTTGTTTTAGGACATTTCTTCCCATCCTAAAGTGTAATGTTATATTTGCTAAGAAACTTATCTTTTTTTTTAATTCTTTTTGTCAAGATTCTGGCTTTTTCTCTCTAGATTTTCTTTCTCTTGCACTGAATTTATTAGTACATTGTCTAATTAACACCCTTTTATGTCCCCACAGCATATGACCTGGAAAAGCACTAATGAAGTTCTGCTTTGAAAATAGCTACAGGCACAATTTAAATTCCAGTGGATAAAACAGATTATATAGTATTTACTTCAATGTAGATTTTATGAATGAGTGTGAAAAGTAATTTATGATCTTAAATGTGATTAAATGTTCTGCAGGGAACAACAGCAGTATTTATTAGGAAGTTGATATTAATTAGGAACAAACCAAAGATCTGGGAATTTTTGCATTTTCCTTATGTTTTTTTTTCAGTCCTGAAAATGTTTTTATATTAAATTATATTTGTCTAAAAGTTACTGAATGTTTCATCTATGACAAGACATCAGGCTTAGTTAACTTTAGAGAGTTTGGTAGATGATGGCAACATATTCTGATAACTCAAGTATTTATTCTTTATACATTATTGTTAAGTATCATACTCTATGTAGATAAGTAAAATAAATTATTTTTTGAGAAAAATCTGTACTTGTTAGATATGAATTGAACATGACCAAGAACATAGTTATCGAGTATATTGTTACCTAGTCTGACCTGACAGCATTGTGACTGGAAGGTCACAGGTCACCAGTTAATCTTTATCAGATTTTTGCCATATTTTTTATATTTCAGGCAGAAGTGATAAGTAATGCAATCAACACAATAAATTATCAAAAGAAATATGTTAATCAATATCAATGAAGTTTAAACTCATTGAATGTATAAAATGGAATTGTTTGATCAAAATATTGAAAATTAAATTCTAACACCTTCAACAAAATTTTAGAAATTTCACCATGCAAAAAAATATTATAGAGAAGTAAATATTGTATGATTTTGTTATAGCTGAGGCTAGATACCATTCAAGAAGTTTTTACTAAGTTTTATGCGACTTGATTCAGTATTCCCATTGTGAGAAGGGAAAGAAAGGGAGGGATATCATTGATATCCTCCCCTTCAAGTCTTGTAATGGGTTAAGAGAATGAAAAACAAAAAATTCTTTTAATCCTAGTATCATTTTAGATGACATGTAAAGTACTGCTTACTTTCTCCAGATTGATTAAACCCATGTGATAATGAAATTGTTCACCACATCTTGTGAGAATTTTTATTATGAAACATTGCTTATATTTTTATACATATGGACAATGTTTAGACATCAATCACCTACTATATAGTCTATTAAAAATAACTAAGATTAATATTACAGACTTGAAAATGTAAACTAAAAATGGGATGAAAACAAGGTTAGAAACACTTGTGTGCATATCACATTTTTCTTTTGTAGAGAAGTAAGGATAAGTTCAACTCATTCTATTTCCTGTTAAGATCTGTAAATAAGACTTAAGTATGTTCTTCTTTATTTTGTTGGTAAGCTGTGATATTAACAGCAAATGACTGGTGGTTTTATGTACTTTAATTAATAACCTATTCTAGTTTTCTTTATTGTTAGTTTCATTAAATCTTATTTATTATAATGTTTGAAATAATTTTTTGATTAATATTACACTTATAAAGGTCACTTGGCACAATGTTTAGATATAAAGACTAACCCAATTCATTTAAATTGGTCATATCTTGTCAGATGTAATTGGAATTATAGCCAGAAAATAACTTCAATAGCAAAGTTATTCAGATAATGAGTCAGTGTGATTGTAATCATTTTTTTTTCTAGTGTATTCATCTATAATAGTAAGTTATGCAGGATTGTCTTGTGATATTTACACTACTGGGTTGTTAGAGAACTAACAACAAACTGCATTACACCATTTTGATACCTTGTTGTTAATGGTGATTTCAGCTGTATCCCAAACTAGTGGCAAAGTGAACTCTATGTAATAGATTTAAGTTACATATTAAGTATCAATACTATTCAACAAATTAACTAATTTGTAAAATAAATTATTTCTTGTAGGGTTGGAATTTTAATGGTCTGTATGCTGAGACTTTTTGGCAACAAAAACACATTCCTGCATGAATTCTGGAACCTTAAAATATCCTATTATTATACATGTTTTGCAGATAAATTGCTTATGTACCATGAAGGCTTTCATAAAACTTTTCTGTTTCCCTGTTCTTGAGTTCTGGAAGAATTTAGTAGATATTTGCCTCAATATCTTGTACTGTTTATCATGACCTTGTGAACTTGCATGTAATATTGTGTGAATTTTTATATATATAATGAAATAATTATAGATACAACTTAATGTTTTTCATTCTGGCTACATTAATAAAAGTAGTGAAAACTTTTTCAAACACAAGTTGAGAGTAATAATTTAATTACCTTCTCTCTCTCTCACTTTTTTCTGTAGCTGTTAGAGCTGTTTGATAGTGAAGATCCCAGGGAACGGGATTTCCTAAAGACTGTCCTTCATAGGATCTATGGAAAGTTTCTTGGCCTGCGAGCTTTCATTAGGAGACAAATAAATAATATATTCTTAAAGTAAGCTGCATTTTTAAGTTTTTGAATTGTGCTGAAGAATACTAATTTTCATTTTCACAGTTTCAGTAAGAATGGTGTGTATTTGTTACAATAACTATGCTTAAAGCTATATCAATTGATTTATGTTTTAAGTATGTATTAGCTTTGAATTCAGCAATGGAGTAATTTGTGTTTGTTTTAAATATTGTTTACGAAAAACATCTTTTCTGTGTGATCATTGTAAGAAAAAATTGTTTTAAAATAGTTTGAAACTTAAATAGAATTTACTTAGAAATTTTGGTAAGATTTCTTATTAATGTTTTTAAGAAATAATTTAAAATGCTTAGCTTTGTTGCTGATTTATTCAACCTGGGCTCAGTCCTTGTGACTGAGCTCGTAGCCATTTTGTGCTTGTTATAGTTTTCATGCTGTAACTTTTAAATTAGTAAGCGAATGTTAACAAAATTTTTTAGTTTATCAGTAAACATTACGATGTTTTATATGCAAAATATCCCTTTTTTTTTATTAAGTCTTAAGAAGGTTTGTAAAGCAATGTTTCTCTCATGCCTTTTTTTTGCTTTTCACATCTTGCCTATCTAACATGTAAATTAATTCTCATTTTAAGATTAAAAATACTTTTATGCATCAGAAAATTTAAAAATTTCACAAGCGAAATCTTTATAATGTTCTGATAGTTATCAAACATTTCTTAAGAAAAGATTTTATATTTTATCTGTTATTTTCAGTAATTAATCTCTGTGTGGGTTTGGTAGATTTGACTGATCCAGCAACCACTATATAAAATTAGGAAATAAACATAAATTATGCCCCTTTCATTCTAGAATGAACACAAATTATAATGCAAACATAAATATTTAGTCTAAATAGCTTAAATCTCATAACATCATACATTTATATATATTTATTATTTTTATTATATTGACCTTTCATATGTGCCTGGCTAACAATACAGAAGTTACAATGATGTGGCGCACATGCACTCGTCTTACCGTATCCAATAATGTAAAACTGACCTTTAGTCTTTACAAAGTAACTTGTCTTGGCTGTGTTTAAGTTGACTAGTATTTTGTAAAATACAGTCACATTTCAATTATTATACATTATATATGTATGTAGATTATTGATGTTTTTAAATAAGCTCTTAGTTATTTTTCCTAAAATGTAGAACAGTAAATAAAGAAGTGAAGCAAACAATTCTCTTCTAATTACAACCTTTGTACTCGGTTGCTGCTTGACATAGGTTGCTAAGCCTTTAAAAATTTTGCACGTGGAGGATATGAAACAAAATATTTTTTTAGGTTCTATATACATATACTGTTAAATAACTAAAAAAATCATAAATTACTACATCAATACCGTAGAATTCCACTATAAATTATCAAGCTTAGTAACTAAGATGTATCTGGGTCTAAAATAATATGAAATTTCGAGCAGACTAAAGACACAACTTACCTCAATTAAAATCTTGATTCAAAAGAAAGAAATGGCACTAGGTACAGTAGAAAGGCTGAGAAAAC